TATACCTTCCAGGTTGTCTAGCTGTTGTCTGGTGGACGCAACGAGATCATGCGCAAGTCCTACAACCATAAGCTGCGGATAAGGTAGAACAACAACATACTGTCTCAGAGGGGTAGGATCCCGTTTTTCTCACTCCAGCAATAGGCTAGTTGGAGGTTGTATCAACATGCTGCACCCCCTCCATTGCGGCCTTGAAGTCTTGTTTATATGGTGATTTCTCAGCTTTCTCGACAACAACCCTTTTGGCCGTCTCGCTTCCTGTAGTAACACAATCAATAGCCTCTCCAATTGTGAGGGGTGGCTGAGATTGGGGGATTAAAGATTAAAGAAACCGGAGTGTGTGACTCGCTGGAGTTCACCTCCCCGTTCCCCATTTGCACCAATTTGAACACCATAATTCAGATTTCTATCGCCTATATCGCACATAGCATCGATCATTTATTAATCATCATATACTTTCTGAGCAATCACAATTTGATCACGAATTTGGGGGATTTTGTCAGCCATCTCAGATCTTCACTGCGGGAACAATATTTGCTTCAAGACAATTAGTTTTTATCAATGAAGTGAAAATCGAAATACACAAATTCAAAATCCGAATGAATAACATATTCAAATCACAGATCAAAAATAGATTCGAACTTCGTGTTACACGCGATCTCCTTGAAGCAAATACGACCCATCATCGGTTGCTTCCTAGAATAGAATGAATTCAATTGGGATTAATTTTTCCGCTACGAACCAAACCAAGAAATACATGAGGTTTTGGAAATTCTCACAAAAGGAAAATTTTTAAAAAGGTTTTTTTCTTTTTGTGTGTGTGCAAGGAATATTATAATAATTCTTAAATAGAGGACAAGTGATCTTGATTTTTATTATCTGATTATTTCTATTTAATCAACCAAACCTTCACAATTAAATAACATATAAATACAAAATTAATTATATCATTATTGGGCTCAATTCACATAACCCACAAGCCCTCGTGGCCCCGAGGCCCAAGGTCCAAAATCTGACCATTAATATAGTTCAAGCTCAAGCAAGCTAAAATCCAATAAATTTTAGCCCAAATCAATTTTGCTATTTATCATAAGTGAAATAATATTCATAATAAAGAGATATGAAATCTGACTTTTCGCCTTTTAAATACCCAGCATTTCTGATGGTATGCCTCTAGAGATTTATGGTACTTTCAACTTTATAATTGTATTCCAAACTTAGCACAACATCCATATACACCCATTTCACATGTTAGGCATTGCTGGTGTATTCGGCGGTTTCCTATTCAGTGCAATATATGGTTCATTGATAACTTTAGCTTGACAAGGAAACGACATAAAAATGAATCTGCTAATGAAATTTAGATTCCTCAATTAGTTGGATTAATGAATCACTCGGTTTGAAATGACAACAAAATGCATAAGTTGTTAAAAAAAGTTTCCAGAACTAATTTGGTCAAATAATAACACTACAATCTAGTATAAATATAATCAACAATGCAAACTATATCAGCACCATGCTGAAGCTAAAAGTATCAACCGTCCTTGATCACGTAAGACCATCTACAGGAGATGCGCCACATCACTATTTTTTTTTTTAAATAAAATAAAAATTAAGAGATACGATGTTTGGAACATATGACACTTTTGTATATATATATTATATATTTTGTTTTTGTAATTTATATTGAATTTATTATTATATTTAAATTTTGTAATAATTTTATAATTCATAATATTTTGTATTCTACAAAATGATAGCAATATTGAATATATTTTATCAATTTAAAAATTAAAATATATAAATACAAATATTATATAATTCTATTGAATAAATCAATATTAATAAATTTAATTTAATTTATTAAAAAAACATATAATTATAAATTTTAAAGAAATTAAATAATATAAAATTATATTAAATAATAAATATATTTAGTTTATAATTAATTACACATATATAATGAATAATAAGATATTAATATAAAATAAAAGACAAGATAATTTGAATAACATAGAACAAAATACATATAATATAAACAATATTTAAAACAACTCTTCGAACAATTTAGCCTTAACAAGTAGATCATGTTCCGTCAAATTATCTTTCTCCACTAGTGTTCGATAAAGTTTCACTTGGGCAATACGCTCATTGTTTTTTATTTTTTCTTCCTTCAGTTATGTCATGCGAGCAAATTGTAATGCAACTTTTTTACTTTGAAGAATTGAAAGATTTTTGAGAGTTTTGCTCCATTGTTAAAATTTGAATGTTGAGTAGTGGGAGAAAATATAAAGATCTTTGATGAAAGTTTGTGTATTTTCTTTTGTGAAATGCAAGCATATTTATAGAAAAACTTAGACACTCTATAACTTATATGTAAATTATATATATATCATGTCTTGTTAAATCAAATCAATTTATTTTTGTCTTGTTTAATTTTTTAAAATGCATTATTATATCACATCACAATATTTATTTTTATCATTGTAGTAGTGATCAATCATTTCAAGTTTTGTCTCGTTGAACTTTATTAATTGTATTGTTAGATCACATCATAATTGATTATTGTACTCGATAGGTTTAAATACACTTGGATTGTTACATCACATCATTGTTTATTATTGTACTATTCAGCTTTGAAAATACTTGCATTGTTAGATCACATCATAGTTTATTATTGTACTAGATAGCTTTAAACACACTTACATTGTTATATCACACATTAGTTATTATTCTACTGTTGTTATAGCACATCACTATTATTATGTGTCATCAAATTTATTTTCAATTATTTTATTATTATACTATTTATTTATATATTTTAAATATATTATTATTATTATTATTATTATTATTATTATCATTTCACATCATTATTTGTACTATGTAACTTTAAAAAACAGTATTATTATATCACATCACTATTGTCATATGTCATCAAATTTATTTTGAATTATATTATTATTGTATTATTTATTTACATACTTTTAAATATATTATTACTATTACTATTATTATTATTATTATTATCATTTCACATCATTATTTGTACTATGTAACTTTAAACAGTATTATTATATCACATCACTATTGTCATATGTCATCAAATTTATTTTGAATTATATTATTATTGTATTATTTATTTACATACTTTTAAATATATTATTACTATTACTATTATTATTATTATTAGTATCATTTATTGCATATAATGTAAACTATAAATACCATATGTTGGCAAAAACTCTACACTACAATAAAAATACAGATTTGATATTAAAATTAAATTTTCAAAATAAATAAAACTAAATTTAATGAAATAACAAATAGGGTAAACTGTTTTTTTAGTCCCGTAACTGGATCCTTTTATCATTTTAGTCCTGTAAGTGGAGCCAGTTGCAAACTAGTCCCATAAGTGAAAAATTTTCGCTATTTTAGTCCTCCGGCGCCGGAGACGCCCGCATGGCTCGCCGGAGGTGACGTGTCCGCCAGGTGTCCCGCCAGGTCAGCGACACCTGGCGGACACGTGGATATATTTTTTTTTTTCATTTTTTTAAATTTTTTAATTTTTTTTAATTGGACCAAATAAAAAAAGTACAAATAAAATTTAAAATAAATTAAAAATAGGTTTTAAAAATAAAATAAAAAATAAAAAAGCCACGTGTCCGCCAGGTCAGCGACACCTGGCGGACACGTCACCTCCGGCGAGTCACGCGGGCATCTCCGGCGCCGGAGGACTAAAACAGCAAAAATTTTTCACTTATGAGATTAGTTTGCGACATGCTCCACTTACGGGACTAGAAAAACAGTTTACCCTAATAAATAATATAACTTTTTTTCCATAATTTTTTAATAAATCAAAATATTGATAAATAATAATATAATATAATATAATAATTAAATAAATAATTAATACTTAAAATTATAATTATAATTAAAAAAATAATATATATACATAATATGAAAATAAAAATTTATTAAAAAATTAGGATGAATATCTTTGTTGCCAATATAAAATAGAAGAGAGTACCTCCGCCACTGATATGACAGAGAGAGAAAATGACGTGGATAATAAAAAATAATAGAGATACCCAGATATCTCAATTGCGGATGTTCTAATAGTTTAACTCTTTTAGGAAGCCTTCCTATTGCGAGAAAAACCAAAATATTAAATAAATGTATTTCTAATTTAAAGTTTTATTATACTCCCTCCGTCCACAAAAAAAGTATACAATTACTTTTAGCGCGGTGTTTAAGAAATAATAATATTTTAATTATAGTGAGTAGTTAAAAGTAGTGTAACGACATTTTTTCCCTTGTTTTTTTGTGTAAAAGTAATGATGTGATGTAAAGTAGGGGTATTTGTGAAAAAAAGTAAGATATTTAATAAAATGTTTACTTTGTAATTGGACGTCCCAAAATAGAAACATGTATACTTTCTAGCTGAACGGAGAAAATATTTTTTAAGTCAAATACAAATTTAGAGTGTGTTGTTTGGGGGTTTGGATTTTGAGTTGAAATTTAAATAGTAAAAAATTTTAATTGAAATAATAGTATTATCTCGATATTTTGAATGTAAAATTAATTTTTAATATAATATATATATATAAAAAATAAATATTTTAATTTGATATTTTTTGAAAACAAAAAATATTTAAATGCTGTAAATCCTTCCCCATCCTCCAAACAAACACATTGGGAAATCTAAAGTTACCGATTTGTTATTAGAAATTGAATTGGAAACAAACAACAAACACGGCCTTAGCCTGGACGACCAAAGAAGCTTCCTCAGTCGGCAGTCGTCACGGGCGCGGCTCGCTTTTACTCGCTCGTCTTCTACGCGCACCTTCACACCACACGTAAATACCTAATCTCCAATAACAATCTTACACGTGTCCAGCAAGTAAGTAGAATCTGCCACCGACTTTCTCCTTCTCTCGAAGCTTCTCGTTACTTGTCTTCTCTTCTGTACTGTACGAACGCGTCTCCGACTGACTATTCCGAGCTTTTACTTTCTTTCAGTTCCCCCCTTCAAAGTCTCTTAATTGTTTTATATATAAAGACCTTTTCTTCGTTTTTGCGTGCTTTTCTCGCTCTCCTCTTTCAGATGCACTAGTAGAGTTTGAATTGCAATCGAAGACTTTTTGTTTCTGAGTTTTCTTTTTTGAATTTTTTTGATCGTCAGAGATTTCGGTGCTTGTTGCTCGAATTGGTGAACGTCTGATCAATTTGGTGAGTATATTGGTTTGTTGTCGTCTCTTTCTCTTTCTATTGCTCGTCGAAACTTGTTAGACTTGCGTGATTTTTAGCTTTTATTTGTTTGCTGTTGCTTGTGATATAAATAGAGTTAAAATTTTGTTTGAATCCGAATTTTGGTTTCATTTTCTGGTAATCTGAGATATTTACTGAATCGATCGTTTGTTTGATGTATAATTGGTTATTAGTATATAGTTTTTTACAAATCCTTTCACGGTATTATTATTGTCTGTTTGACACTATTGACGAAATGTAAGCGAACGAAAACGCCAGTATATATCCATGTGCTGTTGTTCTGGATTTTTATTAACTTTTTCGAAATGTTTAGGTTAGGTGATGCAAGTAGTTCATGTTCTTTGTCTGTGGCCTTAATTTGCAGCATCAATGGTGTACTTCCTGTGACATGCTCAATTTTATGTTTATCTAAGATGAACAGCATGTCTACTTTGTTACTACACTTTTAATATAATTTTGGAAGATTCTATGTTTAGCAGATACCAATCTTCTCTAAACTCTCTCCATATCTTTGGAGTTAGATTTATCCATATGCCTCATTCTTTGTGGTTTGTTTATCTCAGGTACTGTACAAAATGAATAATTTGCAGGTTTCCGAAAGAACTTCCGGAAATCCCTTCCGCAGGATAATTCCGAAGGGAACATCCTTATCTCCAAAGCTCCTTCGCTTGCTGAATTCTTTCGAGGAGACATTAGCGCAGAATATCGAAAATATCAAGCCAGAAAACAGGGGCAATGGCCTAACCCTATCATGGATGAGAAGTGCGATCGAATCGCTCAGCGCAATTCATGCCGACGTAAAAGATCTCATCACTGCCCTCGAACTACCCATTTCTGCTTGGGACGACAAGTGGATCAACGTCTACCTCGACAACAGCGTGAAGTTACTCGACATCTGCATCGCCTTCAGCTCCGAGATTTCTCGTCTGAAACAGGGCCATCTTTTCCTTCACTCGGCGTTGCACAATCTAACTGATCAAATCCAGATCCATCGGGCATGTTCTTCGCTCGCCGGATGGAGGCAACATATCAGCTCGAAGAATCCCAGGCTCGAGAAATGCTTCTCCATCATGGACAGCCTCGCCCGAATGCTCGACCTCCCAAAAATCAAGAACTCCTCAAAGGGCAAAGTGCTGATGCGCGCACTGTACGGCATCAAGGTGGTCACTCTTTTTATATGCAGCGTATTCGCGGCTGCACTCTCCGGATCTTCGGCGCCATTGATCGAAGTGAACGTTCCCAGTTCATATTTCTGGTCTAAGGCTTTCACCAATCTGCAGACCTCCATAAACACTGAGATACGAAGCGGATATTTAAGCGGAGGATTCACAGTGTTGAAGGAGGCTGTAGCAGTCGATATGTTCGTCAAACAGGTGTATCCGATCATCGAAAATGGATTTGATCCTGATGAAGTCGACATGTTGTTGAGTCGCAAAGCGGATTTGCAGGGGTCGGTCGAGGAGCTTTCCCTCGGACTTGATTCGTTGGCGAAAGAGATGGACGGATTCTTCCAGGTCGTGCTGACCGGGCGCGACGCCTTGCTTTGCAACCTTAGGGTCGTTGGCGTTAATGTGATCGACAGAGTGCGAGCTGACGGCGACGGGAATCGACGAGGCCAGGTTGTGAGGTAAAAGGAAGAAAGTATTCTTTGAATGTTCGAAAATGAATAAAAGCACACTCTCGAAAAATAGCAGCTTTTATGTTAAAAAAAACAAAAGGAATGCCAAATGATGTGTGTATTTTTTTTGAGTTCGTGATTATGTATGTGTGTGCTAACAACGTTTTGATGTGTAAATAATAACGTGAACATCTCGTAGTGAAGAATGTTAGTTTTATTTTTATTCAATTTATTGCTGTACTTGTATTGTATCAAAAGATTTCTATAATGTACATATATATAAATTATTATTATTTTTATACTGTGAAAATCTACAGCCATTCTCAAAAGTATATATATATATAATTATTATATTGATAAGTGTGTTTATAATATGAAAAATAAAAAATAAAATCAGTTAAGTGTTATATAATAATATAATATATTGGTAAATATAGATATACGTATGTATATATATTAGTGTAATATTTATGCAATAGATATATATGTATATATATATGAACGATTGAATGGATAGTAGAATGAGTGTAAGCAAATAGACGAGAGAATTGTGAATTGATTTTTTTATTTTTAATGAATTGAATGAGCTACAACAAGCCTATTTATAGGCAAAGCAAGGGTGAGGTTGACACTAGGTCGACGATGATATGCATCCAACTACCACATACGTCTTCACTATGTGTAACACTCCTCCTTGGATGTATTTATATAAAGAATGTGCCTCGTTAAAACCTTACTATGAAAAAAATCATGTGGGAATAAAATCATAGTGAAGGAAAAAGAGTACATCATTCTTGTATTAATGCGCTTCCTCTGTTTTGGACTTTATTTGATATCTTTCATCCAACACATTTCAATTCCTTACACCAGTTTGTTGAATGTTGCAGTCGGTAGCGCCTTAGTGAATAAATCTGCAAAATTTTCAGACGATCGAATTTGTTGCACATCAATTTCACCACTTTTCTGAAGATCGTGAGTGAAAATAAACTTCGGAGATATGTGCTTTGTCCGATCGTCTTTAATATATCCTCCCTTAAATTGAGCTATACAAGCTGCATTATCTTCAAATAATATTGTATGAGGTAATACATCATCAGAAATCGAGCCACAATTTTTCTGAATATGATGAGTCATAGACCTCAACCAAACACATTCACGACTGTCTTCGTGAATTACTAAAACCTCAGCATGGTTTGAAGAAGTTGTTGTTATTATCTGTTTAACAGATCTCCAAGATATTGCGGTTCCACCACAGGTAAATAAATAGCCAGTTTGAGATTTTGCTTTGTGTGGATCAGACAGATAACCAGCATCAGTATAACAAATTAATTCATTTTGAGATTCACTTGAATAAAATAAACCGAGGTCATGAGTTCCCTGAAGATAACGAAATATGTGCTTGATACCATTCCAATGGCGCTTTGTGGGGGATGCGCTAAACCTGGCCAGTAGATTTACTGAAAAAAATATATCTGGTCTGGTACAATTTGCAAGGTACATTAATGCGCCAATAGCGCTGAGATATGGTACCTCGGGGCCAAGTATTTCTTCATTTTCTTCTCTTGGCCTAAATGGATCTTTATTGGGATCAAGGGATCTGACCACCACTGGTGTACTCAGAGAGTGAGATTTATCCATATAAAATTGTTTTAATACCTTCTGGGTATATGTGAATTGATGGATAAATATTCCATTGTTCGCATGATCCACTTGTAGACCCAGACAATATTTTGTCTTTTCAAAATCTTTGATCTCAAATTCTTTCTTTAGATATTCAACTGCAATTTGGATCTCTTTAGGAGTTCCAATTAAATTGAGATCATCAACATATATAGCAATAATGACAAAATTTGATCAATTTTTCCTTATAAAGACTCATGGGCATATTGGATCATTAGTATAACCTTCTTTTATTAAACATTCGCTCAGATGGTTATACCACATTCGTCCTAATTATTTAAGTCCATACAATGATTTTTTCAATTTGATGGAATATGATTCCTTTGGGTTTAATTTGTATGCTTCAGGCATATTGAATCCCTCAGGGACTTTCATATAAATATCAGTATCCAATGAGCCATAAAGATATGCAGTAACTACGTTTAAAAGAATCATGTCGAGCTTTTCTTGCACTGCTAGGCTCACAAGGTATCTAAATGTTATTCCATCAACAACCGGAGAGTATGTTTAATCAAAATCTACTCCAAGTCTTTGTGAGAATCCCTGAGCTACAAGACGGGCTTTATATCTCACAATTTCATTATGCTCATTTCTTTTTCGTACAAACACCCATTTGTATCCAACTGGTTTTATACCATCTGGTGTTTGAACAATTGGTCCGAAGACCTCTCTTTTGTTTAATGAGTCAAGCTCTGATTGAATCGCATGTTCCCATTTTGGCCAGTCATTTCTTTGCTGACATTCATGAACCGATTTTGGCTTTGGATCCTCGTTTTCTTCCATTATATCAAATGCTAAATTGTATGCGAAGGCATTATCAATAATTGCCTCTTTACGGTTCCAACATTTTCTTGAAGTAATATAGTTAATTGAGTTTTCAATAATCTCATCATGTTCTTCAAGATCGTGCTCTTCTGGAGCAATTATTTCAGGGTTGACTTCCTCGTTAGATTGAGGTTTATCAATGTCATTCCTGATATTTTCATGACTATCATCATTAATTCCTCTTTTCTTTCGAGGGTGTTTATCTTTAGAACCGAGTGGTCTACCACGCTTTAAGCATCGCTGATTCATTAGCACTTGTAATTTTTTCATCATGGATAATTATTTTAGCCGGAGCATTAGCAGCTTGGATATATGATCGAGTGACTTTGCTCGAGTCATTGAATGCATCTGGTAACTGATTTGCAATATTTTGTAAATGTATAATGCGTTGAACTTCTAGTTCACACTGCTTTGTACGAGGATCACAAAAATTCAATGGGATTTTCCAATTAATATCGCTTTTCGGTTCGTTTTTTTCTCCCCCTAATGTCGGAAAATATGATTCGTCAAAATGACAATTTGCAAATCTTGCAGTAAATAAATAACCCGTCATAGGTTCAAGATATTTTATAATTGACGGCGATTCATATCCGACATAAATGCCCAATCTACGTTGAGGACCCATTTTTGTACGTTTGGGGGGTGGAATAGAAACATAAACAGCACACCCAAAAATACGTAGATGAGATATATTTGGTTCGTGACCAAATACTAACTGTATTGAGGAATAGCTATGATAGCTTGTCGGTCTCATTCTTATAAGTGTTCCTGCATGTAAGATTGCATGCCCCCAAGCTGAAACGGGCAACATAGACCTCATCAGTAATGGTCTAGAAATCAATTGCAATCTTTTAATAAGTGATTCTGCCAGGCCATTTTGTGTATGAACATGAGCAACTAGGTGCTCTACATTAATTCCGATCGACATGCAATAATCATCAAATGCATTCGATGTATATTCACCAGCATTATCCAGACGTATAGTCTTAATTGGATTATCGGGGAATTGTGCCCGTAATTTAATAATTTGGGCAAGCAATCTCGCGAATGCCATATTGCGAGTAGATAATAAACAGACATGTGACCATCTGGTAGATCCATCAATAAGCACCATAAAATATTTAAATGGCCCACACGGTAGGTCTATTGGTCCACATATATCCCCATGTATTCTTTCCAAAAATGTAGGTGATTCAATACCTACTTTAGCTGGCGATGGCCTGGTTATCAATTTTCCCTGAGTGCAGACAACACATGTTAACTCATTTGAGTTTAAAACTTTTTGATCTTTTAATGAATGGCCATGCGAATTCTCAATTATTCGTCTCATCATTATACTGCCGGGATGCCCAAGGCGATCATGCCATATTTGAAAATCGGTAGTCTTTTGGTCTACCGTGAGGTGTGTTTCAACAACACCTAGTTTGGCACAATATAAACCAGTAGAAAGTGAGGGTAATCTCTCAATGATGCATTTCCTTTTATCAATGATATTAAGGATCAATAAAAATTCACCATCGATATCACTCATAGTTTCAATGTGATAACCATTTTTCGAATGTCATGAAAGCTCAGTAGATTTCTTCGAGCTTTAGTGGCCAACAGTGCATACTATATTACAATTTTCGTCCCCGCGGGGAGAAATATAATGGCTTCTCCAGAGCCTTCAATTAATTTCGCACTTCCACTTATTGTTTGACATTCATTCTTTCCCTTTTCAAATGGGAGAAATATTTTTCGTGTTTCAATATAGTATGTGTCGTTGCACTGTCAATGAAACACATATTTGCATCATTTTGATTGGCATCCATTTAAACTTCAAATATAAGTAAACGCAGTATTAATAAAGGCAGATATAAGTATTACAAAATACATTACAAAAAGGTAATATGCGATAATTTAAATATTACAAAACATAATGTAAAATGACATAATATGTCTATCACTGGGGGTTTGTTGGATCTACGACAAAATTCGCTATATCAAGATGTGTTGTGTCGTAATCCAAAAGATCATCATCGGGGTCATCATCATTATCAACGTGATTAGTCTCGACCTCCTTCCCCTTTTTCTGCAGTGAGGCTTGATAAAGATCGGCTAGGTGTTTGGCTGTTCTGCAGGTATTAGCCCAATGGCCTTCAATGCCACACCGATTACAACTGCCGATTTGCCTATTTCCCTGTTTAGCCTTTTCGGCTATATTCCCATGTTGGGGTTTACTCTGCATCCTGTTAATGTCAAAACTGCGGCGATTGTAAGGGGTATATCGACCGCGTTGACTCTCACGACCGTGACCACGTCCACGGCCTCTACCACGTCCTCGGCCTTGTTCAGAAAATGTCACGCTCGCTTCAGGGAATGGACTGGAACCAGTGGGCCGAGACTGATGATTTTTTTATCAATAACTCATTATTTTGCTCAGCTAATAAAAGACATGCAATGAGTTGTGAGTACTTTTGAAAGTTTTTCTCACGATACTGCTGTTGCAGCACAACATTCAAAGCATGAAAGGTAGAGAGAGTCTTCTCCAATTTATCATTCTCACTAACATTTTCTCCGCAGAGTTTCAACTGAGATGTAATCTGATGGATAGCAGAGTTGTACTCTGTAACAGTTTTAAAATCCTGCAACCGCAGGTTAAGCCAATCATGTCGGGCTTTGGGGAGAGTGATATATTTCAAGTGCCCAAATCTCTCCCTCAATTCATTCCACAAATCAAGTGGATCTTTCATCGTCAAATATTGAGACTGTAGAGGAATGTCCAAGTGATGAATGATGAAAATAATAGCTTTAGCCTGATCTTGGCTTGTAGCCGTATTTTCACTGACAATTGTATGAACAAGACCCATTGAAACCAGATGCATTTCTACATCCAGGGACCAAGTCAGAAAATTGTTGCCGGTGAGAGATAGAGGTTTAAAAGAAAATTTTGCAAGATTTTCTATAGTGTAAAAAATAGATAATATAAATAGTATAAAAATAAAACTTACCAAAAATAAAATAGGCAAGAGCCCTCGTGCTGATAACGTGTTATATAATAATATAATATATTGGTAAATATAGATATACGTATGTATATATATTAGTGTAATATTTATGCAATAGATATATATGTATATATATATATATGAACGATTGAATGGATATTAGAATGAGTGCAAGCAGATAGATGAGAGAATTGTGAATTGATTTTTTATTTCTAATGAATTGAATGAGCTACAACAAGCCTATTTATAGGCAAAGGAATGCATCCAACTAACACATACGTCTTCACTATATGTAACATTAACTTAAAAGTGAAGTGAGAATAATACTTTTCTAGAGAATAAAAAGTAAATTAATAACAATTTGGTGGGAATTATATAGATTATAAATGAATACTCCTCCTCCTCCTCCTCCGTCCATATGTTTATAATAGTAAATTTTTTATTTCTTTTGCACATAATAAATTACTATATCCGATTCACATGCGGTGTCTGCTACACTGTAGGCTAGTAAAAATAATTATCCTATGATATAAATAATTATAAATTAATATTAAGATAAGTAATTAATTTAATTAAAATTAAAAAATAAATTAAAAAAATTAAAATGAAATTAAAATGTGTAATCATTTTCCAAAAAAAGAAAATAACATGGAATGGAACGTAGGACGGACCGAAACGGTAATGTGGATATAATATGTGAGACGAAAGAAATAATATTTTGTAATTCAGTAATATTATCTTTGTTACCTATAACATTGACAGTAAAATGTAATTTAGTAATGTTATTATCTATGTTACCTTTGACAATAAAGTAAAATTAATATGAAAAAGTAAAAAGTTTAGATATTTTAATTGATATTTTAGTATTTAGTCGAATTTAGCTCTGTTCTTCAAATTTCATATTTCAACTCTGATTCCTAAAAATAAGAATACAAAATATTTTATATATGCAAAAATAAAAAAGTTAAAAGTTTAAAAAATCATTATAAAAAGTAAAAAGTAAAAAGTCACATATTCAATATGAAATAATATATTTTATATTTTTTGACGCAATTTTTTGTATCACACATCAAATATTATTTCATAAGATTTTTACTATTTAATTTTTTTTGAAATATCAAATAAAAATTTTATTTTAATTTTTTATATTATATTAAAAATTAATTTTATATTCGAAATGCCACGTAATATCTATTTAAATCACATCAAATAACTAAAATTTTACTGTAAAAAAATTCCAACCTTAAAATCACAAACAAACACAAAGTGTTTTTCTTTTTAATTACATCCTGCTTTTATTGTTTTTTTTTTTTCATTGAATTTAATAAATTATCGTATTCTATTAAAATTTACAAAATATTTTATATTATAGTATTTCCCAATAATTATTTTTGTTCAGTATTTTATATACATTTTATCTAAGAAGAATTTATGCCACAAATGGAATATAATGTATTTTATGTTGTGCTACATTTTATGAGTGTAATTGTTTATTATTCATGAAAAAATCCGTTGTAAATCACCAAATCAACTTGATACATAAAAATAATACAACAATATTAATACAAACCGAAATAGAATTTTGTATAAATTAAAAGAAAGGGTAAACTGTTTTTTTTAAGTTCTCGTAACTGGACCCCTTATCATTTTAGTCCGGTAAGTGGAGCATGTCGCAAATTAGTCCCATAAGTGAAAATTTTTTGCTGTTTTAGTCCTCCGGCGCCGGAGACGCCCGCGTCGCTCGCCGGAGGTGACGTGTCCGCCAGGTGTCGTGCCAGGTCAGCGACACCTGGCAGAACACCTGGCGGACACATCACCTCCGGCGAGCCACGCGGGCGTCTCCGGCGCCGGAGGACTAAAACAGCGAAAATTTTTCACATATGTGACTAATTTGCGACAAACTCCACTTACGGGACTAAAATGATAAATGGGTCAAATTACGGGACTAAAAAAATAGTTTACCCTAAAAGAAAATAAATCAAAAAAAGTTTAATACGAAAAGAGATAGAGGATCTGTTTCTTTTGTATTTTGGTTTGTAAGAATATTTTTTATGTGAGATATAGAAAATTTTGTAAATAATATGAAAATAATAAAATTTGTTCAGTATATTACTCTATTCATTATCCAAATCTATTTTCAATTTCTGTTTTTTTTTTTTTTGTTAACAAAATACCACCCTTTTTTTTTTACCAAAAAAATAAAAATTTCTATTTTTATTTATTTATTTTAAAACTCATGTCTAGTCAAATGAATACACAATTGGATGACGGATAGAGTAACTTTTTTTAAAAATAAATGTTTGAAATTTTTTGGATAAAAGAACAAAGGCCAGTAGTGTATGTGTGTGAATGACAACCAAATACACAGCCCATAATTTTATACGCAGGGTTTATTAGGTTCAAGTTCATATTAAATTCCTAGATCTCAGATTTATGGGTTGCAGAAGTAATGGACTATGTACAAGAAATTAAAATTATTTCTTGATTTCGGCATAAACAATTCAATAAATTGTACTTTCTCTGTTCAATTTCTATTGTACTAAATTATATTTGCACGAATTTTTAGGTGATTTTTTTTTAAATGGACAAATTTGCCCTTAAGGGTATGGTAGAGATTAAAAGTAATAAATGAATGAATGGTAAAAATATAAAATTTGTGTTTAAAAAAAAATATATATATGACCATAATTGTTGGACATCCAAATAGAAAATTAGGACATTAGTTTGTGTGGACGGAGAGAGTATTTGTTTTTAATTCTTTCACAGATTTTTTCATTATTTATGAAATCTTTTTACTGAGAAAAATATCAAATAAATTTTATATTTTTCTATATTATATTAAAAATTACAATCTCAATAATATATATATAATTTATAAATTCAAAATATTACTATTAAAAAATTAATGTATTGTGCACTTTGTTTTAGAAAGATTATCATTTTTATTGTTTTGAGTTTGCATTTTAAAAAAATATATATTTTATATGTATAAAATATTAAATTAATTTTTATTTAAATATAACATTTAAATCAAATTTTCTCGCTCTTCTTCTTTGAAAGCCCTTTTATGAAGAATTTATGAAGCAAGTTTCTTTTGTAAAAATTTGAAAAAATTTGCATCGAATTTTATATTAAAATAATATTTGATAAGATATTTTGTAAAAATATATACATATTTATTTTTGAAAAATATAGGATTAGATAGTAAAATTTAAAAGATTTTTTTTTTTTTTTTGGTAAAGAATGGGCCCACAAAGATAGAAATTGGTTGGATTCCGTTGGACTTTAGATTTGACCGAATACACATTGTTGGATCCGATACTCGTAATTTGATTTGATTATACTCGGACCCGATCCGAACAATACTTGACAAAATCCGATAGATTCGATAGGCCTGCAAAATATTTTACAATTATTAAATTTAATTTAAAATTGAATTTGAATTCGGATCCGAACCCGACATATATTAAAATTTATAGTATATTTTATCTAAAAATATTATAATAAAGTAATAAATAATAAATAAAAATAAAAATAAAAAATTATTTTGATATAATTTATATTATTAAGAATTATTTTTTTCATATATATAATTGATATATTATTAAAATATTAATCTTGTCCAGGTCCAAACAGAGTCTACCCTTAGATCCGAGATCTGCCCGACCCCGACAAGGGTACATAATACCTGACCCATATCCGACCTGATACCGGAATAATTGGATTCGACCTCAAAATAATGAATCAGGTCTTGGGTTTATCCGAATTCATTTCCATCTCTAATTATGAGACTATATTCTTAATTTTTTTAATTATATTTTCCATATGAACAAAGTAAATATTTAATTTTGACATAAGGTTAAAAATGTTAACATTAAAACAGTTATTTGATACTCCCTCCATCCCCGGAAAAGATAAGTTTTTTATATGGACACGAAAATTTAGGTAGTATAAATTAGTTATTTAGATAGTAAGAATTAATTATTTAATGATTAAAAATTTTAAAATATGCGTTTAACATTTTTAACCATTATATCTCAATAAAATATACAATATGGATTTCGTTTTGTAGAGAATAAACTTTTATACTCCTATAATACATATAACTATAAAATTTATTTATTTATTTATTATCATAAATTAGTTTTATAAAAAAATGAGAAGTTTTAAAGATAAATAAAATTATTTGTTAATTTATGAGAGATATGAAAATAAAAGTGTTTTGAGTGGATCCTATGTGAGATTAAAAATTAGAAAAAAAATAATCTGTTTTATAGGATATAGTTAATTATCATTAAAATAGGGGTAAAAGAAAAAAGTGTTCTAAAGAAGAAGACAGAAGCTAGAAATATACTTTGCAATTATTGATTCATTTTGTTTTAGTTGCTCTTTTAATTTTATATTCCAATTATCTTGGTTGATAATATTTGATAAATACAATGATCGCATATGTGCAGCGAAAAGGGGACCAGGATTGATAACCTACCCGATGAAATTCTTGTTTGAGCCTCAAGAAAGCGGAGAGAACTAGTTCTCCCGCTTAGATGGAGATATACGTGGAAGTTTACATTTGGTGTAGAATTTTATGGTTCGGACATGTTAAAGGAACTCTATGAGC